TCCCTCAAGAGTTCTACTGTCCTTTACTCCGTCGGAGTTTATAGCCGTTAAATCATCTATCCACGACTTTTAAATAATAATCTAACGATTACAAATTCTGACAGAATGATTCCGCAACGAGAGTGTAGCATTTTTCTATTTATATTTGAAAGCCAAACAATGAAATATTAAAATCAACGCGTCTGCGTTTTGGCGGTTGCCTAATACACTTCAGTCGTTCTCTTCGTAACTTTCAAACTCAGCGTTAGGAACCATTTCCACTTAGATCCTATCGTCAAAACCACTTCATACTATCATTTAATTCTCTTCTTATCCTTCTTTACTCTTCTCTTCTTCCTTTCAAATGCACTGCTCAATTGTAGAAAAAAAAAAAAAAAAAAATTCTCCAATTTTATATCACTTTGTCTTATATCATCACTTTGTGGTTCTGTTTGTTTTGAGGGATTAGAATGGGATTGTTGAGCAGTTTATTGGGAATTTTCGGTTTTGCGATTGGGCTCCCTTTGGGTGTTCTTATTGGGTTTTACTTGTTCATTTTTTCTGAATCCAAAGATGTTGAGGTAACCAAATTCTAACTCTTCCTTTTTTGTTCTGTTGTTTGATTGTGTTTGTGTGGCATAAGAAATTAAACTATATGCTATGCACTTTAATTTCTTGAATTTTTTGCTTTATTTTCTACATATCTGTTTATGGTATAGTGGGCTTTGTTTGTATGAATCTTGATTGAATTTCTTGAGTAATTTCTGCAAGTTTATGAAGTGAATAAAAATTGAGGTGAAATGTTTTAATCATAATTTTGAAACTTAGAAAAAGAAAAACAATTAACTCGCTAAAGATGTTAATCTTGTGTTGATGGTAGGAACCAGAGATAAGACCACTCTGTGAGCTCGACACAGCGGCACTAGACGAGCTTATGCCCGAAATTCCCTTATGGGTCAAAAGTCCCGATTACGATCGAGTGAGTAGTTTTCTTATATGTTCTTTATACAAGAAACTTTAATTGTTAATAGCCTTTCACCGATTGTTATTCTTGTTTACTGCATTACAATGTGCTGTCTGTTTTAAATTTTGCAGGTAGATTGGTTAAATAAGTTTATTTCGGAAATGTGGCCGTTTTTGGACACGGTACTTTTTTTATATGTCAATACACCTCGTATGGGCTTGATGAAAATAGTAGAAAGTAGTCTGTTAACATTTTGTATTCAGGCGATTTGCAGCGTGATTAGAAGAACGAGTGAGCCGATTTTCGCGGAGTACGTTGGGAAATTCAAGATAGAATCTATTGGGTTCGTTAAATTAAGCCTTGGCGATATTCCTCCTACAATTGGTGGTGAGATTTGCTTGTATAGTTAATTTTTTGTTTGGTTAAACGTTGTTATCCTTAAAGATTTTTAGTCTAATGGAAAGTGCAAAGAGAACAGCTATAGTTTAAAATTTGAACGTCTTCGTTATTTACTATTTCAGCATTTCAAAATTAGAACTTACATCTATGGGGCATTTAGAAAGCTTGAAAAGAGAAAATTCGAAATCTGTCTTTGATGATTCTTAACAGGTCTTAAAGTCTGTGAGACTAATGAGAAGGAACTTGTCATGGAGCCCTCAATACGGTGGGCTGGCAATCCGAACATTGTTGTTGAAGTGACTATTTGGTCTGTACAAGTCACTGTCCAGGTCAGTCAAGTTCACAAAGTTAGTTTTCCTCATTAGGAAACCGAAGAAAAAATAAAAAAAGAAGAGGAAGAAGAAAGGGTTGGTTGAGTTTTCGGTTTGGCAAAATTGGTGTTTGTTTTTTACTTTGCAGTTAGTTGATGTTCAAGTATTTGCTGCACCTCGGATAACTTTGAAACCACTTGTCCCTACCATTCCGTGTTTTGCAAATATAATCGTATCATTGATGGAGAAGGTGAGTTTGTCTGTCACTACTCAACTGAAAATGATTTCAATCCTCTCTTGAATATTCTTCTTTTTTTTCCGTTCGGTAACTCGTTTCTTATGTATTCACAGCCATTTATAGACTTTGGGGTAAATGTGTTGGGTGGGGACATCATGTCCATTCCTGGCCTTTATCGATATGTTCAGGTACTGTGGATTTTTCGGTGTAAGACTAAGTTGCCGAAAATAAAGTAAAAAAAACTAAAATTGAAATAAAATAGACACAATCAACCTCAATATAGTGTTTTCTGATTTTTAATTAATCAACTATCTCACACTCTTCTCTTTTTTTTTTGTCCTTATTTGTTTTTACTTTGGCAGGAGAGAATTAAGAAAGAAATTGCAAGTCTTTACCTTTGGCCAAAGCGTCTTGACATACCGGTGCTTGATGCCTCAACGTGAGTTGATTCATTTCCTTATTCGAGCCAAAAATATTTTCATAGTCTAATGCTGAAAGCTTATTGAAGAATATATTTATATCTTATCAAGGCCGTACGTCTGGTTTTCCCCAGGGTGGCCATAAAGAAGCCTGTTGGTATTCTTCACGTGAAAGTCGTGCGTGCAGTGAAGCTTCTGAAGATGGATTTGCTCGGCTTATCCGATCCGTACGTCAAGCTGAGCCTCAGTGGAGAAAAACTTTCGACTAAGAAAACTACCATCAAGAAAAAGACTCTGAATCCCGAATGGAATGAGGACTTCAAGATTTCTGTAAAAGACCCACAAACTCAAATGCTTCTTATAAATGTTTACGATTGGGACAAGGTCTAATTCCCTTTAACACAATCTTTGTCATTTTCTACACAACAAACCCAAATTAATATTTTAACAATCTCTTTTTTTTTTTTTTTTTNTTTTTTTTTTTTTTTTTTTGTGAATTAAACAGGTAGGCTCACACGACCGTTTGGGTACTCAAAATTTTCCTTTGAAAATGTTGGCCCCCAACGAGCCGAAACAAGTGACGCTCGACTTGTTGAAAGACACAAACATCAGTGAACCTCATAACAAGAAGCAACGAGGGAAGATCATGCTCGAGCTTGTTTATGCCCCTTTCAGAGAGGACAGTGCCGATTTTAGTGGACTTTTGGAGGGGTTTAATAGGGAAGATAGCTCGTTTAACAGGGCACCTAGCAACATCAGCCAAACGGGGGCCGGCTTGCTTCTTGTCAATGTTCAAGGGGCGCATGACGTGGAAGGCTCGCGCCATAATAATCCGTATGTTGTCATAATCTTCAGAGGCGAAACGAAAAAATCAAAGGTGGTATCCTTTTTTTCTAAATAGTTTTTTTCCTACTCTAATTTCTTGATTAGTTGAGCTGAATTTTTAGATCCTGAAGTTTTTGAGTAATTAAATAATAAAATAGAAATTTATAGAAAGGCTCTATAGCTTGATTCTGGCTGAAATTTAAGGATGTGACTATGTTGTGTTTTTTTTTTTTTTT